TCCCCAGAACCACCTTGGCTATTTTGTTCTGCCCGCGCCTGCCTCCAGGGTACCTGCAATGGTCTCAATGGTGTCGAAGGATCTGCAGAGACCCTTGTAGCTCAGCAGATTCCTATGGGGCCAGTTTCCACCCCACTGCTCCCCAAGGGGAAGAAATCTAGGGGGCTCTGGCTGCTGTTACCTTTCACAAACACACAATTGTGGAGGCTGTAGTTTCCCGCCGAGACAAGCTGGATGAAGGTCATCTCCGGAGCCTTCGTGAAATTGGCCACCTTGAACTTCTCAAAGGGAGGGATGAGAACTTCCTTCTGCTCAGGGAAGAAAGAGAAGTTCTCGATGTTGACCCCGTGGCAGGTCTCGATGGCGAAGGAGGTGTCTGTGCCAAACTCCTGGGCTATCTCATATTTCAGCGATGAGGACGTGAATTGTCCAAAACGGGCGTCCTCAAGGTGTTTGGGGACGAAATGGATATTTCTGACCCCCCGATACACTTTCTGGCACCTCGGAGCAGAGGTAGTCCCGAGGAGGTGGAGGGCTCTGGTCAGGAGAAAGTGAAACGTCTTGAAGTGGAAGTCGTTGAGGTACAAGTCTCTGGTGCGCCCGGCTTCCCTCACGGCCCTGTTGAAGTCCCTATATAAGTTCTCCTCTGCCAGGGTGTAGGCCATGATCGCAATGGCGTGCTCTGGCTTGAGCCCATCGGGCACCATGACGGAAGATTTTCTCTCCTGCCACTCGGAGGCTGCCTTTTCCCAGGCCTCGGCGTAGACGCGGTTGGTGGCAAATTCCGTGCGGTTCAGCTCCTCCAGCTCAGCCTCCATCATCTCCACACAGCACTTGTACTGGTCATCGAAAGAGTTTGGGGCCATGTCAAGGGGGAACTCTTTGATGGACAAGAGGTCCCTTCTCTGGACCGGGAAACTGGAGACCTGAAGCAGGAAAGAGGAAAAGAAGGGATGGAGGCTGATGGATGGGCGGTGGGGGGCCTGCAAACTGCAGCGCAGGCATGCATTGCACAATCAAGCAAGGTTTGCAAGGGTACGCTTATGTACACTTCTGTGCACAAGTGTGCGGCAGGGACCATGGGGGGTGGGCGCTGCAACCAAGGGATGCACAAAGTCCTGCTGCCCAGCCCAGCAAGTGGGGCACTCACAGATCTCATTAATAAGAAGTTGACGGCATACACCAAAATCCAGGTCTATAGAGCCTGTGTCCTGAGCACACTCCTATACTGCAGCGAGTCCTGGACCCTTTGTGCACGGCAGGAGAGGAAGCTGAACACCTTCCATATGCGTTGTCTCCGACGCATTTTTGGTATCACCTGGCAGGACAAAGTTCCAAATAGAGTAGTCCTAGAACGAGCTGGAATTTTCAGCAGGTATACAATATTGAAACAGCGCCGTCTACGTTGGCTTGGGCACGTCGTGAGAATGGCTGATGGTCGGATTCCAAAAGATCTCCTGTATGGAGAATTAGTGCAGGGAAGCCGCCCCCGAGGGAGACCACAGCTGCGTTACAAGGACATCTGCAAGCGGGATCTGAAGGCCTTAGGAATGGACCTCAACAGATGGGAAACCTTGACGTCTGAGCGTTCAGCCTGGAGGCAGGCGGTGCATCATGGCCTCTCCCAATTTGAAGAGACACTTGTACAGCAGACCGAGGCAAAGAGGCAGTCCCGAAACAAGCAAAACCAGGGAGCTGGACAGGGGACAGATTGGATTTGTCTCCAGTGTGGAAGGGATTGTCACTCTCGAATTGGCCTTCTCAGCCACACAAGACACTGTTCCAAGACCTCCATACAGAGCACGATACCATAGTCTCTCGAGACTGAAGGATGCCTACACACGTTCTCTAAAGTGAGCTTTCTTGGGTCAGGTCCCCTTCTTCCGATATAAGAGGAAGAGGATGCGACGGTCATATTTATACCTGGTGGGGAGACAGATAATGGACAAGGTGACAGTCCTAGAAGCCGTCCAGGCTTCCGTGTGGACAGGGTTTCGGGTCCCTGGGGGCCTGCGTTGGCTCCGCTTGGACTTCCAGCCAGTCCTCGGCCCCCCTTTGGGAGCGGGGGTGGCACCGTGCCAGCCCAGGGGCAGGGCGGCCACCGCCCTCTTGGCACACTCGCTCGCTCCTCGAGCCGGAGGAAGGCCTATTTTGGGACAGGCAACGGGCGCGGGACGTCCCTCTCCCTTTAGGCGTCCAGGGTTCGCCCTTTCGGGGCCCTTGCCCTTCGGCCTGCCTGTCGGAGGCGCGGCTGCCCGGCTGTCGCGGAGTCCCGCCGGCCTTAGCCTCTCTCTTGCTCCTCCTTATCGGCGCCTCCCCGGGGGGCGGGGGGGGGGCGCCGGCGGGCCC